TGGACAAGTTCAAGTCAGACGTAGGGGAATGTGGCTTAAAAACGTTCAACCGTGTTTTTTTTAAATAGATCCAGCCGAAAATATAATATTCGAAACGAATGGGCTCGTTGATGGCCCAAAGCCTGAATGAAGTTGCATAAAATATAATGAAGCAGCTTCAGAGCTTCAATAATTTATTAACAGCTGAAATTCGCCCAATAAATTTACGCAAAGAAGCTAAGGAAGGGCTAAATTACTTTCTCACATGCTTACAAGGTGAGAAACACACACTTTATGGTTTACATTATTTACGATCTCAAGACTGAGAAAATTGGATGTTTTGACCGCTTCTCAATGGTTTTGAATTGACGAATTCTATTTCAATTGTGGTATAATAAAGAGTTTTTTGAACCCTCACTGGATTCACGATGTCACTCCAGTCGATCGAAAATGATTGGTTTCGCAACAATTCGCGTCAAAGCATAGAAGGAAATTGCCAAGTTTATCCCCTCGATTTCCCTTCTTTATCCGGAATTTCCACATTACCATAAGAATGACCCCGTTACCGAAAAAACCAGATAATTTTATTCGGAAAACGTCTTTTCTGCCTGACTGTTTATTCGGCTGAGTCGCCGAAGGGCGCAATTGATTATGTGAATAGAACAACATGTCACATTTTTATCGAAATCTTTGGCTGCCGGTTATCTGTTCCCCAGTTTTATATGTTTGCTGTTGTATCAGCTGCTACTTTTTTTTAAATAATAAAGAGGATCGAGGTTTGTTTTCCGACCGGTTCTTTTTACTGGAAGTCGGCGATAAAGCAAAATTGTAGTCTTTGAGCTGGAGGCCTCTGGCAGAACGTGATTGAGTATGGGACAAATTGTACAGCGACTTTTTTTGCGAATATTCCTGATTCTCATTCAACAAGTCGCTGTAAAAACAATAATAATTTATGATATCGGGTCACGAATGCTTTTGTGTGTTGGCCCCACATATTAGCGATAAAAAAATTGGGTAACAGATCCGTTTCCGAGATAGAAACGACCGCAATTACTGTTGAAAGGCTTTTCAATAAACTACACTGAAAAAAACTGCTATTTGATCAAAACGATTTTGCGGTTGTTAGATGGAAATTAACCGGAACTTATCGGATGCGTTTGGATAATTGGCGACTTGTTGCTTGTTAAACTGGACAAAGCTGCAAATTTTATCGGTTTTCTTCTTAGATATTTTCGCAACCGAATTGACGAAAATCGCCAGGGTTTATATAGGGTGTCCTGAAACAAATGAGACAGTAAAATCTGCGCTCAAAAATAATATAAATTTTTCAAACGAACTTGTATCGAAACATGCT